TCTATCCTATTTATTTTCTTTCTTAATTTGTAGTTGAGTTCTCTTTCAATATCTTACTGGTAGTTTTGAGTCCATGTGTATATTTCCCTAAGCTTTCCTTCCTGTTCAGTGTTTCCTTGGACAGTTTACTACACTTTATACAATCTAATGCCAGGAGGCATTTTTCAATGTCACTGCTCTAGGCCCTTCTGATTTCACTTCTCTAATTTAGAATTAGAATCTGTCCTGCATTGACTTTGGTAAATGACATGAAGAGGAAACATATTTTTCCTTCTGTTCAGTTAAACCACTTATTCAGTAATTATTCTTTGTCTCCAGCTCTGCGTTCTAACGCTCGTTGTGCTAGTGCTCACTCATTCATAAATTGGCTTTTAAGTACTTTGGTCTAGTGACTTATTTAACAGCATTTTGATACATTCACATTGTTGTGTCTGTAACTGCCGATTTGTAACAGAATGGTTATACTTCAACTCTGTCTTTCAAATTTGATGTTAATATTCTTGGCTCACTTTATTTGTATTCAGATTCTATGATTTTGCTTAATCATAGAGAGAGGAGAGAGAGCGACAAAAAAAAAAAAACCAAAAACCAGAGACATTGACAAAGATACACACAGAGACACACAGAGAAACAGAGATGAGAAAGATTTTCTACTGAGAATGTGCTTGGATTCACATCGAATTTATACATGGATTTAGTGAAAACATTTCTTACTAACACATTTCCAAGTCATGATTTTACTGTAACTACCCATTTTGTACATCTTTTCTTAACTATGTCTAAGAAGCTTATTTTCCTATTTTGGTCAATGGTAATTGCTTTGTATTCTCACTTTGTTTTATACTGAACTAAAATTGGTCTTCTAAATTATCTAGGTTCTGACGTCCTTTTTCTAGTTGCTTGTTATTTTCAATAATTCATCTATATTTGAATTTTTCCAATAGAATTATGTGCAGAATACCTTTACAATCTTGAATGAGATTGCAATTTTATCAAATGCTACACTTTCTAAATTTAGCTGAATTCAGTTTCCTTGTCACTTGGAAAGTCAACCGTTATCATTTATTAACACTGAAAAGAATGATGGTCATCAAAATTAAAGAAAAATATCTGATGAAATCTCAAATATCAGTATAGAGAGGAACTTTGTTATTAAATAGTTAACTCTATACAAAGAATAGAACACTTTCATAATAAAACACTAAAATTTTGAAGGTTACCAGTTTATTTCCCCCTCCTCAGCAACATCATCATTTGTTTAGAAAAGGTCTCCTTGTCAATCCTGGCTCATATATAACCTCGAATTCACAGTGATCTGCTCTGCATTTGTGGGAACTAAAGATGCATCGCTACCATTAGACCTTTTAATACCAGTTTAAATCATGATGCATTATGGCAAGGTACTGTCCCTATACTTCTCTGTCTCTGCATACGTTATACACATCCTTCACCACCCGCACCTCACACCACACTGATATACGATAACAAACAAATCTCCATTGATTCATAGCCACCATCACAAGTTTATAATGGGGCTTATTTTTGGTAAATATTCTATGTATTTTAACAAATACATGATGGTATGTGTCTACCATTTTTGAGTGTTTGTCCTTCATTGAAAACCTTCTTTGTCCTCTATTTTATTTTATGTCTCTAAAACTGGGATATTTTTATTTTTAAGTGAATTATTATTAGCTTTGTTCTGTCTCACGACCTTACCCTGTTTGACTTACTTTGCCTTCCTTTACATCAACATTTAAATTTTTCTCTGATTTCCATGTTTCTCTCCTAATATTTCTTCTTAAATGTTTTTTTCTTGTATCTTCCGTCATCTATTCGCACTATTCTCTATTCAATTAATTGCCTTAATCCAGAACTTCTATGCTTTTTTTCTCTCTCTCATACCCAGCTGTGCTCTTTTTTCATGTAAACCAGGTTTACCCATTAAGTCTGAAAACTATGTAGCTGGTCTAGCCCCTTTATGTTATTGTATGCACAACACATTCCTAAAACAATCATTCTAGATTTTATTCTCCACATATCACTATACCTTTGTCCATCAATTGTGCTCCCGAATCCCAGCCCAGCATTCTTTACTTTAAGAGTCAGTCAAATCAACATAATTTTCACTCATGCCCACCTCCATTCCTCAACTTCTTTTTTGGGGGTGTGTGAATCTAGAAATCCGACAGATCTTGATGGGCATCAAGGTCATAAAGATGAATGTTCAGGAGAAGGAATAAAGGTATTGAAGGAGACGTGTGTATAGAGAAAAGAGGAAGAGAAAGTTCTGAATACAGCAGAAGGCTTATTTAATGCTCTAGGAACTGTTAAAGTCAATTCAGAGCGCAGTGAGACACTGTCAGGAGTAGACTGCATTGTTCCAGAAGAGCAGGCAGGTTTTTTGTTTGTTGAATGTTTTTTCCTTTGATGATAATGAATTACCAGCTCATCCCCACATTCTTCCTTCTGACAGACTGGCCATGAGAGCAATGACCATGAAAGAAAAACAGCCTTTCTTTCAGTGAATCACTAACAGGGTCAGACTAGGTCCATTTCTCTCTTTTGTTCTTTCTCCTCCAGGGCACAGTTTTCTCTGGCAGTGATGTTAATTCTCCTTTACCCTCCAGTAACCCAGATTCCTTGCAATAGGTGTCTGTTTGATCCCAAAGGTTACAATAATACTTCTTTATTAGCCACTTTTTTTCCTGTATGTGCTTCTCAGAATAGAGAAAATACGTTTTTGAGATCATAGTAATTTCTCCTAAAGAAACTCATGAGAAAGAATCATATATGTGATCAAATCCATTGCCTTTGTGGATATTTAGGCGCATATTTCTGGGTATATTCTTCATAAGAATAAAAGAAGGAAATTAGGAGTTAAAAATTAACAAAGCTAATATCGAGGGGAAAAGGCTTTTCATGTTTGTTCATTAGAGGAATGTGATAGATACATTATAAAATCCGCTCAATTGCCCTTGTCAAGGCTGGGCACCCATCTGTAGTTCTAAGACATGCTTTTAAAGGACCTCAGTGTTGTGAACTGCATGTGGTTACATTTGAGTAAAACCCAAGCAATTGACTTTATTGTCCTACTGTATAATATACTTCTAAAAGGCCATTCTCACTGATGTAACTGAGGTGATTAGATTCCAACAGATTTATATTTAAAAAAACATAAATGAAACTATTTGATTTAACTTTCAGGGAATACTTGGAATTCACTGTTTCTCTTCCACTCAGGTTCAAGACATTGTTTGTGGCGGGGGAAAGGTGTGATGTGGAGACCCTAGAATGGTCCAAAAAGGTCTTCAGAGTCCCTGTTCTAGACCACTGGTGGCAAACAGGTAACTCTTCCATAAACCTTTCCTAAAAGCGGCCGAAATCCCCCAGAGCCCTGAGTGGACTGGAGGAGGTTCTTAGACATGTCAATCAGAATCAACAGTTCTATTTTTTTTTTGTAGAAATTAATGCTTTGATGTCACATGGTTAATAATATTTTCATTAGTCATGACTTTCCTCTTAGACATCGATGTACACTACAAAGAACATTTTTTCTATCTCAGCTTTGATTCTTTTGTGCAGAGAGTTGCTAAATCTCAGATTTTTCTTCCTCAAATCGTCTTTTGAATTGACTTTCCAGTTATGAATGCAGAGGCAGCATCTGCCCTGTTTTACCTGTCCTTACCTCTCATCTCTTTTTCTCTGTGCTCTTTAATTTGCTGTGTACACTGCTTCCAAAGTATTTTGTTAAAGCACAGTTCCTGTCATAGGAGACTCTGTCGTCCATGTCTCATAAAAATCTACCTTCTCTCTATCACTTGTACATTAGATACATTAATTTTTTCCCAGACAATACTAATATATGGGTATCTTTCATTTATAAGTTTGGTTATTATATATTTTTCTTACAATAAGTGATTGTTGGGAATGGAATCTTATATTGGGTAAGTAAAATGTAAGCTTTGGAAAAAGAGAACAAGGGAAATAAATACCTTATTCTTTCCTCTCATTATTTTTTATATGGATGATTGGAATATATGTGAGAATGAGTCTGTGGTGGGGAATAAGATTTACTTTTCATCGTTTGCATATATTTTTATCCAACCCTCTAAACATAGCTCTGGGACATGAGGACATGGGGTAGCCTAGTAGCCTCCAAATGTGAGTACCCCTCAGTTCAGCAACTTATGTTAAACCTCACACACAGACACACACACACACACACACATATTAAAGTCAATGCCCTTAACATTTTTCGTATAGAGTATCAAACTTTGCATAAAAATTATCAAGGTTTCCTGGTGAAAATAAATAGTACCCTTAAGGAGAATTTAAACTTAGATGTGACCATCTCTAATTACGGCTACCCTTGCTTGCCTTTGGCTACATACCCCCAGGATTGCTGTATATATAGCCAATTACATTTGTAGATGGCATTGTGTTAAAATGTTGGTCCTCCTCATAGAAAAAAAAAGTGGAAAACTAAAGGTAAAGTTCAATATTTGGTAGTTTAGATATTTTTAATTTTGTACATTAATTTTATTGTCTCTTTGAATGTTGATTTTTGGAAAAACATCATTTTCTATATGTTTTTGTAATATGTAATTTAAAATAATTGATCATAGCAGATAACCTGCTCCCTGCATAAAGGAAAACAATGGGATTTCTGTTTTCTGTAGGTTTATTTACTAAAGGAAAATTGGTTACTGGTGTGCTTAAGAACTCAAATGACAGGACTTCACTTGGAGGTATAATAATACAATATATTGAAATACACTAAACATTATTATGACAACTACAAGAAAGAGTGCTTATAGTATTGGATGCTCCCAGTTATCCCTTTAAAGCTGTTTTCCTGGACATCATTCTAAGATACAGTGAAATTTTAAATAAGTTTTCCTTGCTTGGAAAAAATGTAGATATATGTAGGTAGTGTTTTCAGAAATATGAAAAAAAACATGCCAAAGCCCATAAAACACACATATTCCTGAAAGTACTAATGACATATATCAATGTAATATCTTTACAATATGTTGACTTTTTTTCTAGCAAGGTATAGGTATAGCCAGTCATATTTAAGAACACAAGCTTAAAAGAAAGATTGCTTGAAGTTGGGAAAATTCTCCATTTTTTCAAGGCAAGAATTTAATGTAAGAATGAAGAACTTTTTTTCTGAAATAGAGGTGAATGCTAGATGATGCAGTTATCAACAGATAGTTAGATTGATGAATGTAAGTGACAGCGCCTTCTTGCTGGACCATGGTTACCTGATGGAGCCAGTGAGAAATTAAACCAGGCTGGCAGAGCAAGCCTGAGGCTGTGACAGTTTTATTGAGAGCAATTCGACTTTTATCCCTTTTTCAGAAACAGAAAATACTGGTGATTTTCGGGATCAATATGGCGGTAGTTGCTAGGATAAAATGATGGGTGCAAGCTATACAGGGTGCACAAGATTAATGTCTAAGACCAAACTGTCCTGTCAAGCTCCCAGGCCTCCATGACTTCTAAGGAAATATACAGAGAAACACAAAGTGGCCTGGATGCTTCACTGCCTGTGGCATTGCCTTGGTTTCTCAGGAACTGAAAGGCAAACAGGTACCCAAGACTGAGCCGTGGACTTTATCTGAATAATGTATGATGCACGCCTTTCAAGGAGGCTAGGTCAGGCCAGCTCCATGGTTCCCTGTAGATACACAGTCAGAATCTTTAGCATTAGCATAGAAAGTTATTCTTTCACTTCCAAAATTGTATGTTGCAGTAAAGTATAAAGCAGCACTTAATTTTGTAATCTGCCAGCTCTCATTCTTTTAAAAATATTTATTCTAATTTTAGTGTTGTGTTTATATTTTTGGAATTTGTGAGCACATGTGTGCACATTCTAAACAGTTACAACGAGCTATGGGCTACACCGTATGGGTGCTGGAGATCCAAATTTGGTCCTCTTAAAATAGAAGGAAGGGCCACCTCTCCAGCACCTATGTCTCTTTCTTAAAGTGGTATAATAGAAATACTAAATCCACTAGAGAAAAAGACAAATGAATGGGTGATTATTAATTCACCGAGATAGAAAAGGTCTTGATATTTTTAGCACATTGAAAATATTCTCATGTTTTACTCATCAAATAGAGGTTTTGCTTGTCTTCCTGAGAAACCTCCTAGAAAACACCAGATAACGTTCCTAAGAAGGTTAAGCTTTGACCAAAACGTGCCTTTCTTTGTTGTAAATCTCCAGTGTTCTAGAGGTCTTCTCTAACTATATACTTAGAAATTGATATTTTATACACTTATAAGACTTGATGAGACTTCCATATAAATATATGTGTGAAGGACTCATGAATTTGCTCTTTGATTATACTAATATATGTGTGTAAATGAGTTGTTAGAAAATTGTGGCATGTAATTTGAAATTAGGAAGGACTGACTGTGTTAAGTTACTTAAAAATCTATGCATAAAGTTTATTGGATCCTGTGATTTCAGCTGTTGATATGGGATGCCCTTCTGCATTCTGTGGAAAGGTTTTATTACCATTTGACCTATGACAGGACAGAATATAGCTAATTGGGAAATCCGTGCAAGGATACAGGGAGAAAGAGGGGCAGAGTGAAAGAGATGCCAGGGGCTGCCAGGGAAGCAAGATATGAGATAACAAACCATGAGCCTCATGGTAAAATATAAAATGATAAATATTGGTTAATTTAAGTTATAAGAACTAATTAATAATAGGCTTCAGCTAATAGGCCAAATAGTTTGTAATTAATATTAAGCCTTAGACTGGTTATTCAAGAACTGGTGGGTGGGAGAGAAACATCTAGTTACAAGCTGTAGTTAATCTATTTATATATCCATGTTTTTTTAATTATTTGTTGCTATTTATGTAGGTTTGTGTGTGTCCATGCGTGCAATGTATGAAGTAGGGGTGTGTATGTGTGTGCACACATGTATTCCTGCAGTGGCCAGAAGAGGGCTTCTGATCCTTTGGGCTTAGAGTTACAGTCGGTTGTAAGCCAGCTAACTAGGGTGCTGGGAGCTAAAGTCTGTGTACAGCAGAAGAGCAGGGAGCACAATTAACAACTTTGTCATCTCTCAACCCTGTTATATTAATCCTTGTCACTCAAGTAGAATTTAAGCTAGTGCCAACAAACCTTGAGTTATGAATATTCTCTTTTGACCTATTAATGGCAATATTCTTTGATGCTTGATTAAATGTCTACAATTAGCTAGTATCTGAAGTATCTGAGGATAGACACAGTTCCTCCCCCCCTCAAAGCAGTACTTCAATGGAGACTTTTGCTGCTCAAGACCAGTGAAACATTAAGCATCTGCTTTACATTATAATAATGTGAACATTTAATGTTATCACAAAGAAATCAGTTTTGCTAAGTCTAAAAGGTTGCATTCATTAGTCTCAATAAAAACTGAATTACCATTCACTTAAATGTTGTATCTACAGTGTAACTTATTTGGAAGATGATTGAACAGCTGGATTGTCAAATATTTCATTTCATTTCAATAGAAATATGGAGGCATTTAAATTTTAAAGGAATAGATAATTAGTCCTTTAAAATATAGCATCTAATGTACAATGAAGCAGTCTGAAGTTTGTTATCCTAGATTGTGTAATCTCCAGATCAAATATTGTATTGTTCAGGGTAGTTGTTAGTACAGAAAGGCGCTTTTCCAGAAATCAGGCAGGTAACTTGGTTTTCACAATCAAGGACTGTCCAGGTAGCAAAGGATACCCTTTGTAAGAACTGCTTTTCTGACTCTAGATGAGTTGAGTACATTCTTAAGAATAAATGGCCTAACAAAATTTCCCTTGCACTTTTGACTAACTCTTCAATCCAGAGTAGACCCTGCCCATTTGTAAGGCTTACTTTCCTCTCGTTTTTCCACTTCTGTTTCCCACTTGTAATAAAACATGATAGTGCATTAAAAATGATTACAACATAACATCTCAGCCTCTTACTTTTGACTATTTTTTGTATTTTTTATATTATTGCCATTTTAAAAACAATGACCATTGGGGTAGAGAGACAGCTCAATGAGAGAGACAGCTCTCATTGGTTGAGAGGACTTGGCTGAATTTAAAGAGGATGCTTAGCATCCCCGTAGTGGCTCACAACCACTTGTAACTCAGGTACCAGGGGGTGTGATGCAAAACCTTCATACACATAAACTAAAAATTAAATAAATATAAATATAAAAGAATCATTGACCAGAAACTTGTAACATTCAAGTTCTATAACAATTTTGAAAAGGGCACCTTTGTGAAGGGCTTAGTTCAAGAATTCATAACTCTTTCTAGTTGCTTGGATCTCACTTGTGCTGTTCCCATCAGGAGTT